GTGAAGGCCATAACAAGAGATAAGGGAGGCCACTTCATGATACTGAAGGGATCAATACAACAAGAGGATATAACCCTGATAAACATATATGCACCCAATGCAGGAGCACCCAAATACATAAGAAAACTTCTGGAAGATATCAAGGGAGAGAACGACAACAATACAGTCATAGTAGGGGACATTAATACACCACTGACATCACTGGATAAATCCTCTAGACAAAAAATCAGCAAAGAAACAGCAACCCTAAATGACTCACTAGATCAGATGGACTTAATTGACATCTTCAGAACACTTCACCCCAAAGCCACAAAATATACGTCCTTCTCAAGTGCTCACGGGACATCTTCAAAAATATACCACATATTGGGTCACAAACAAAGTCTCCCCAAATTCAAGAAGATTGAAATCATACCAAGCATCTTCTCAGACCACAAGGGCATAATATTAGAAACAAACTACAATAAAAACAACTCAAAATACTCAAACACTTGGAAGCTGAATAGCATGTTATTAAACATTGATTGGGTTACCAATGAGATCAAAGAAGAAATTAAAAACCTCCTGGAAACTAATGACAATGAAAACACAGCAATCCAAAACCTATGGGACACAATGAAAGCAGTCCTGAGAGGGAAGTTTATAGCTCTACAGGCCTATCTCAACAAATAAGAAGAAATGGTAGTAAATCATCTAAATCTACATCTCAAAGAATTAGAAAGAAAGCAACCAGAAAAGCCCAGAGTGAGCAGAAGGAAGGAGATAATAAAGATTAGAGCAGAAATAAATGACATAGAGACCAAAAAAACAATACAAAAGATCAATGAAACCAAGAGCTGGTTCTTTAAAAGGATAAACAAGATTGATGAACCTCTAGCCAAGCTCACCAAGAAGCAAAGAGAGAGGACCCAAATAAACAAAATCAGAAATGATAGTGGCGAAATAACAACAGACCCCACAGAAATACAAAGGATTGTTAAAAAATACTATGGACAACTCTACTCCAACAAACTAGACAACCTGGAGGAAATGGACAAATTCCTAGAAAAATACAACATTCCAAAACTTAATCAGGAAGAATCTAAAAATCTCAACATGCCAATAACGATGGAAGAAATTGAAGCAGTCATAAAAAAGCTTCCAGCAAACAAAAGCCCAGGACCAGATGGCTTCACAGGGGAGTTTTACCAAACATTCAAGGAAGAACTAAAACCTATCCTCCTCAGACTACTACAAAAAATTCAACAGGAAGGAACACTTCCAAGCTCATTCTATGAAGCCAGCATCACCCTAATACCAAAACCAGGTAAAGACAACACAATGAAAGAGAATTACAGGCCAATATCCCTCATGAACATAGATGCCAAAATCCTCAACAAAATCTTAGCAAATCGGATCCAGCAGTACATCAGACAGATCATACACCATGGCCAAGTAGGATTTATCCCAGGGTTGCAAGGATGGTACAATATCCGCAAATCAATATACGTGATACATCACATAAACAAATTGAAGGAAAAAAAACCACATAGTCATATCAATTGATGCAGAAAAAGCGTTTGACAAAATCCAACACCCATTTTAGAAAAAAACTCTCAGCAAGGTGGGAATAGAAGGATCATACCTCAACATAATAAAAGCCATATATGACAAACCCACAGCCAACATCATACTCAATGGACAAAAACTAACACCATTTCCCCTAAGAACAGGAACAAGACAGGGATGCTCACTCTCACCACTCCTGTTCAACATAGTACTGGAAGTATTAGCCATTGCAATTAGACAAGAAGAAGAAATAAAAGGCATCCAAATTGGAAAAGAAGAATTAAAACTGTCCTTATTTGGAGATAACATGATATTATACATAAAAAAACCCTAAAGACTCCATCAAAAAACTATTAGACTTAATAAAAGAATTCGGCAATGTAGCAGGATACAAAATTAATACCAAGAAATCTATGGCATTTCTATACACCAATAGTGAACTTGCAGAAAGAGAGACTAAAAAAACAATCCCATTTACCATCGCACCAAAAAAATTAAGCTACCTAGGAATAAACTTAACTAAAGAGGGAAAAGACTTCTACTCAGAAAACTACAGGACGTTGGAAAAAGAGATAGAGGAAGACATAAAGAGATGGAAGAACATACCATGTTCTTGGATTGGTAGAATCAACATCATTAAAATGTCCATACTACCCAAAGCAATCTATAAATTCAACGCACTTCCCATTAAAATACCAACAGCATATTTCACAGACCTAGAACGAACTCTCCAAAAATTCATCTGGAATAAAAAAAGACCCCGAATAGCTGCAGTGATCCTGAGAAAGAAGAACAAAGTAGGTGGGATATCAATACCAGATATCAAGCTATATTACAAAGCCACTGTTCTCAAAACTGCCTGGTACTGGCACAAGAACAGATATATAGATCAATGGAATAGAATAGAGAGCCCAGAAATCGGCCCCAACCAATATGCTCAATTAATATTTGACAAAGGAGGCAAGAACAACATTGGAGTCAAGATAGTCTCTTCAATAAATGGTGTTGGGAAAATTGTACAGATACATGCAAGAAAATGAAAGTAGACCACCAACTTACACCATACACAAAAATAAACTCAAAATGGATAAAGGACTTAAATATACGATGGGAAACCATAAAAATACTCGAAGAATCCAAAGGCAACAAAATCTCAGACATATGCCGAAGCAACCTCTTCTCCGATACAGCTCCTAGGGCATTGGAAACTAAAGAGAAAATAAACAAATGGGACTACATCAAAATAAAAAGCTTCTGCACAGCAAAAGAA